TTTTTTTTTACTTATTGTCAACTAAAAAACTAATTTTAATTATTGATGGAGAGCTGAGCCCCCTATCAAACAGTTTTTCCCTCCACCCTTAAATAATTAAAAAAAATGTAATATGCTAAGATATTTATGAAAGGAAACTCAACTTTTTAGTCCCCTTATTTTTTTTCCAACAAAAAAAAAAATCTACTAATAATTGAGAATAATGAATTATATTTTCTTAGTTTTTGCTTTTTTTTTCTTCTTCATCCACTTCTTTTGCGTTGCCAGCAGTATATCCTCACAGCTCAAAGTTTTTTCTTTTTGCCTTGGACTCTTCTCTCTTTCCCCCATGACTTAACTTGTCATAGCCCGAATTCATTTTCACAATGGAAAAGCCTTTCAACTTCATCCAATCTGTTGCAAAGGCAGAGAACAAAAATCCCGAAAGCAGGATGACTCAAAGAAAACACGGAAGGCAGACTGCAGTGTAGGGACAGAAATATAAAGTTTAATTACCTAAATCCAATATCTCTCTTAAAGAAAAAAAACGAAAAGCAAAGTACGGTGTGGGGATATACGGATCTAAAGTTTGATCACAATAGATCCATTATTGCAGGGACTACGTTTTGCAAAGCATGCACCAGTAGAACAAAAGAGATGGCCGTACATATATATAATAATGTTGTTCTATAATTAGTGCAGTGCTGAATTGTACTTTTTTTTTATTTAGTCAATTAAAAAACTAATTTATTTTGTTTTTAATTTTTGTGCTTCTTGATACTCTTACAATGTAACAAAATGATTATTTTGTGTATTAAATTAATATTAATAAAATTTCATTAATCTATTTATAAAATATTTCATTTACACCACAAAAGAATTTAAAGTCATAGGCAAGTCAATAAGAGAGTCAAGAGGATATTTCCAAGAACAAGCATAACAAATGCTACTAAATTATGAATGAGTATGAACGGTCATAATCACCAAGAAACGTGCTGCCACTCTTTTTCTCTTTTTCTAAAACAATCGCGTTCCAAGCACGAACTTAACATAGTGGGCAAGTCAATGAGAAAGTCGAGAGGATATTTGCATGAAGATATATAACAAACGCCACTCACTCAATTATGATTGTCATGGCATTGCCCTATAATAAAAAAACAGTAAACAGTACTGTTGGTGAAGCTCTAGCTAGGTTGGCATGCATTTGAAATTTTATTACTGTTTCAGTTCGGTCTATTCTTTTGTTTCTATTAGTTAAAATAATTTACCATAATTTTACTTTATAATAAAAATTTTATTTAATTATGTAAATTAAT